GGAGATGGAAAGATGGAAAGATGGAAAGATGGAAAGATGGAAAGATGGAAAGATGGAAAGATGGAAAGATGGAAAGATGGAAAGATGGAAAGATGGAAAGATGGAAAGATGGAAAGATGGAAAGATGGAAAGATGGAAAGATGGGAAAATGGGAGAGGAGGGTAGGGTAGGGTAGGGTTGAATAAGGTAGGGTGAAGAAGGTATGTATGTGTGTGTGTGTGGGTGTGTGTGCAGGCATAGATGGATGTATACATATATATATATATATGCAAATACGCCCCGTCTCCCTCCTTTACTTTCCATCTTTCCTTTCCTTTCCTAGCCCTTATTGAGCGAGGTCTTGGCATGGCAGAGGAGAGGAGACACCACACCACGACGGGTATAGGTAGGTAGGTACACACGACCACCTTTCTCTGGCTTCAGAGTCACGAAGCCACAAAGTCACAAAGTACCAAAGTACCAAGTCACAAAGTACCAAGTCATAAGTCACAAGTCATAAGTCACAAGTCATAAAGGAAAGATGGGGTTTTTTTTTTCCCCTCAAGGGTTCATCATTTAATTCCGATCATATCTGTGCCTTTTTTTCGGGGAGGGAAGGGGGGGGGAGAAGGATGGGGGGGGTTTCATCTTCTTCTTTACTATTAGCTGATTAAGTCAATCGGTCAGTCAACCTATTCTCCTTGCACACACACGAGAGAGGGAGAGAGAGGGAGAGAGAGCAGCAAGGAAAAGTATTCTCCTTTTTTTTTTTTGAAATGCTTCTTTGGAGAGAAGGCGCCCCCCGCGCGCTTCAGAGAGAGAAGACATCCTCTTTCAAGAGAAATGCTGCTGTTGCTGCTGCTCCTACTGCTGCTAGCTACAGCTCAGAAGTCCAACTCTGAGAGTACACACACACACACACACAAAAAAAAAGGAGACCCAGTCGAGATGAGAGAAAAAATGACTCAGTCCTCAATTCTCGCAGCGCGACAGTCTGCGTCACGCGGGATGAGAGAGAGGAAAAACAACAGACAGAACAAGAAAGAAAAAAAAAAACGACTCAGTCCTCAATCCCAGCAGAGCGACGATCAGTCACGCGGTCCGCCATCGTCACGCGCCCGGGCGCGCTGGGCTCGACGACCTTCCGGCTCCCCGGGGCCCCGAGATCCAGCAGGCCGCCGCAGGGCTTCTGCCAGAGCCACTCCTCCATCTGGTGGGCGGGGCCGACGGTGGCGAGCACGCCGGGGACGCCGAGCCACCGGTTCGCGGTGTAGATGAGCTCGAAGCGCCGCTGCGGGTTGGCGCGGCCGGCCATGCGGATGGAGACGCGGTCGACGCCGCTGGAGGCGCGCGCGACGGTCTGCACGAGCAGGAAGTTGGTGGGCTCGCGCGCGTCGTAGACGCGGGGGTCCGGGGGCCGGTCCGGTCGAAGTCCATGCTGATGGAGCGGAACTTGTTCATGAGTTGGACCTTGTGCGCGCAGAGGGAGACGGACTTCCATGTGGGGCCTCTATTTTCTTGGGGCACTCTGGAGGGGTTCTCTTGTTAGCTTGTGTTTGGTTCTTGAGGAGGGGGGGGGAGGAAAGGGGGGAGATGAGATGGGATGGGATGGGATGAGAGGGAGAGGAGAAGAAGACTTACTCAGCACTGTATTGCAAGTGGAGATTCTCATATACCATCAGCTCTCGGAGCGGCTTCTTGCCGAACGCAGCCTCGTTGGCCACAGTGACCCCGTAGTTCAACTTCTTGTACAAATCTGTGACCTCTGGACCTAGGGTCTCGTCCCGGGCGAGAGCGAGAACCAGGGGAGGAGCTTGGCCGCAGTGGCGGAGAGCGAGGGTACCACCCTTGCCCCAAAGGCGGTAGATCCTCTGGCGAAGTTCAACCGGAAGCTCACCGAACTTGAAAGGGCGGATCTTCCTGTACTCGGCCATCTTGGAGGCGGCCGCATCCTCCATGCGTGGTCCTTCGATGTTGATAGCAGAGCTGGGGAAGGGGACGGTACTGCCGGTGAGATCGAAGCAGAGGAAGGGGATGATCGGGGTGTCGAGAATGGTCGCGGTTGCGATCTGGGAGGCGACAGTCTTATCGGCCACGGCGAATTCGACGAGCTCCTCCTTGCGGATCAGACGGGACTCCTGTTGTAGACCGAGATGAGTATCTGCTTTCTTCCAACGTAGAAGGGGGGATGGGGCAATCGCAATTGATTGGCGGTAGGACAGGAAGCAACTCACCTCGCCAGCGAAGCCAATGAACTCGGGGCCTCCAGGCAGGCTCTTTGGGTCTTCGTAGTTGAACGCGTGAACAGCGCGAGCGATGATCTCCTCGATGGCAGCTGAGATAGTAGCAGCGTCGACAAGCTCCGCAGCTCTGTAAACACGGACTGCTCGAGCGTTCTCTGCCACAGCCGACTCTGCCAATTCTCTGGGAGCGGGACTCCCACCTCCAGATGGGAAGGAGACGGGCGGTGGAGGAAGGCGGCGGGTTAGAGGAAGGCGGAGGGTTCGAGAAAGGGGACGGAGGACGTAAGAGGAATTACGCCGACGAAGCATAGAAGCTCCGGTTCTCATGATGTTGCGAGCTCTGACGAGGCCGGTGATGGGAGTCTCTGAAGAAGACATCTTGTAGGAGGGAGGAGTCGATGGTGTAATGAGGGAAGTGCAAGAAGAAGTTATTGTTGTGGTCGTTGTTGTTCTTATTGTGATTGAACTCGGTCGTCGATGGGGGTGCGAATTTGTTGTGCGACAGGGAAAGGAAGAGGAACAGGAGGAGAGAAAGGCCGATTAAATACGGCTGATAGAAAAGTTGAGGTTCGGGTGAATAGCAGTTTGGCAAAAAACGTTTGGAGACGTTGGGCGAAGTTTGGGGAAATTTGGGGCTATTCGGGGGAATTGTGGTCGAGAGAAATTATACTAGGTGAATTATTGAAGGTGAATTGTGAGCTGTTTTCCTCGTCGCTGTCATTAAGCGAGCAAGTATATATAATATATAAAAGCGACAGCGCCAATCTCAGTCCACTTTGTTTGCTACTCAGTAGGCCTACTTGCGATGAATCGAGGCATTACACGGAGAAGACTAACATAAGCAGTACATATACTCAATAGATGTGCTTCAGTGATGTGGGACAATTGAACCGTTCCAAATCACCAGGGGAGATGGGGGTTCAAAGGCAACAGGGCAACAGGGCAACGGTGAAGCGACCTCACCTTGGAACACAACATCAACAAAGAGCAAATATAATATGGTGCGTCGAGTGACGGCAGCGAAGGGATCGCTTCCCAGATCGCAACAAGCCCAGATTCAAGTCTGCATTCAATGCCAATCCAAGAGAAGAAGGATCGAAATTCAGGGATGATTCAGTGCACAAATTTCAGTTAGGGGCAACAAAACAAACAAATTTAAGGAAAATTCCTGAAAACTTTCATATTTGTTGCTGAAAATGACTGCCCGCCTCGGGTTGCCATTCAACCCAATGGCAGTAGAGCCCGGCCTCTATACAATCCCATCTAACGCACCAGAGACCACAAGTCGTCGCCGTCGTCGCCATGCACTTCGCTCCGATTGAACCCTCCCCTCAATTCTCCGTATGAATGATACACAGCGCCGAGAGCTGGTGATCCGTATCTCCATTTTTCGTATGCTGAAGAACTCGACCAACCAACAAAATGAGCTTCTCGAGCACCCAGAATCCACCAACCGATGTTGCGTTCGAATGGGGAAAGAATAAATTATATGGATATCAAAGACGCCAGCCCCCGATGCAATCCTACCAAAAAGAGAAAACGAGAGTGTGTGCGTTGGGCCGCAGCATGCGTATGTATGCCGTCGCCCTGAGTAGACCACAGACAATCAAGTGTATAAAAGGCCCAGTTATGAATTCCACTTTCGTCATTATGCTCCGAGGGAGGTGGCCATTCTCAAGGATGCGCTTCGAGTTGTTCCGTCTCCATTAACACCCATTAAAGCAAAGTAAAGAAGTTTATATTCAAGTTGAAGTCGATGAGGTAGTTAATCGAGAATGGACCGCCGTTATGGACAAATTAGGTGTGAATCGGAGGCCTGTTGTCCACAAGCAACTCCAGATGAAACTGAGGCCACTCTCTGATGAACGTGGCCAATATCGGGACAGCCGATACGAATTCCTAACACTACCTCACGCCGATTGGTGGTCGAGGTCCTAGACTGCTTTGGCTACTGTGCGCAGATGGCTCAGAATCGATGTTGGCACTATCACCACTCCCCGCGCTGGCGCTCGCAGAACCCGTCAGACTTCGAACTTGTACAGGGCCTTTAGGTGGATGAAGGGCGCTCACCCCAGCGTATTGCTCAACCTGTTGCGGTGCAACTGCATTGCCCTGTCCCGGCGGGTGACGCGGCACTGGCTGTCTCATGCCTCCTGGAGGAGACGGTCTACCGTTCTTTTGAGAGCCCGGGCCCCGGAGGCCGTTGGGCGGCGATGGTCTGCCGCCTCGCCCAATCTGCGGACTGTAAGGAGCTCCAGGGGACTGACTTGCTCTTCGAGGATAGGGACCACCTTGGCCGTTGGAGCCCTGCGGACCTCCATATTGTAACTCGTCCAGTCGTGCAGCCGTCAGGGAGTTTGCTCTGGAGCCCATGCCCATCTGAGCGCGGTCAACGTTTCCATATCGGTTTGACGAGTAGCCCATGAGAGGATCATCCATCAAATTATCATGCAGACCAGGCACCTGGCTCAGTATTCGAGCACTGGACCGGTTCCTGGGAATTTGTGGGCGCATGAACCCGACCCCTCTGCTCCGTGATCCATCGCCCACTGCCAACTCGGGATTTTTGCGAATCTGATGCTGGCTCGGGGTGGCCTTTCGAGTGCGTCGAGATGTAACGCTCATCATATCGAAGTTGTCAGGGTCGATCAAAGGGGTGACGGGAACATCTGCAGGGTCAAATCCGTCTTCGTCGTCGTCTTCATCAAATCCACCATTCCGGACTGATGGTGTTGGTGGTCCTCTGCGGGGAAGACCTCGTCCACCAACGCCGTTTCTCAGTCGCAACTCTTGCTCACGTATTGCCAGCTCGCGTTGGCGCAAGATCAACTCTCGTTCTCGCAGGGCCAACTTGGAGGCGTCTCCGCCGTGATTAGACTCCCCGGACTCGGGAATATCATCGTACAACACCAAGTGACTGAATTCTTCGAGCTCGTTCCCTTCCAAAGATCCACGCCGAGATGGGTTCCTAGCCGGGTATCCATTGCCTGGCATTGGGCGTCCGTAGCCGTTGGGCGGACCTCCGTTCGTTGGAGGCGGTCCTCTGCGCATCATCCCAGGCGGCGGGCCATTCATTGACGGTCCTCTCCCTCTGCCTCTGGGGGCACCATTTCCGTTCATTGTACCGTTCATATAAGGCCTAGGAGGAGGCGCAGCAGATAACCTGATGGGAGGATTGACAGACGCAGGCGAAAGCATTGGAGTTTCCTTCCTCTGTTGGTTTGTAATATTCAAGTGGTGCAGAATGGCGTAAAGCGTCTCGATCCTGGGGACGCGGACACCTGCTTCTTGAGCAAGCTTGATTGGTGACCCGAGGTATGTCTCGACCTCCATTGGTCTCTTGGCCATGAAATCCTGGTACATGATGCTGTTTGCTTCAGTGGGGCGGACCATATCTGCCAGAGCCTTCGCCTTGAAATCTGCTGGGAAACTGCATTCCTGGGCTTGGGCAATCGCGAGGAGTTCGTCAAACAGATCCGAGACGAGTTGCCGGATGCCTACTTTCTCGAGGAGTGCGGAATGCGATGGGGTATCGAAGATGACACTCAGAGGATGAAAAGCAATCGGTCTGGAGCAGTGGTCAGTTGGCTCTCGACGGGGGACTGTGGATATCTGGACAGAGCTTACCCAATCATCCGCTCATACTGTTGCTGTCGGATGTTGGTGGAAACATGGCAATCGACCTGTCCACTGCTCAGAGTCATGGCCAAAGCATCTGCCATGTCTGCTTGGATCCCATTCGGCAGTGAAGGGTTCCTGTTTGCAGGTCCCACCCAAACTTCAGTTGATCCCTTGTGCTCAAATTCGCTTGATCCTAGTTGGATGATCTCGGCACCCGAAACGAGTGACAGGACCACATTGCTGGGAAACCTTGCTTCGAGTTGCGCCTCAACTCCCAGCGCGTGTGTGGTGTTGACGAGGATGCAAGTGTGTTGGGGAGTAACGACTGATTCGATCACGGACGCCAGATCGTAGACATCTGGGAGAGCTTTGACACAGAGTAGGACGTAGTCGAAGGCGCCATTCTTGGTATTTGCAGCTTCTTCCGGCGCGCGCACAACTATGGAAGCCCACAGATCAGCACATGCCCCAATCGGTGCAGGTTTTGGAATCTCTTACCATTGCGAGGCTTGAATCGTTCGTTGCCAAAAGAGGTTGACCTGCCAGAATCAGTCATCTGCTAAGTTAGGGTCGAGGATGCCCGGACGTACTTGAATGAAATGCCATATTGATGCACCGCGTCGAAACCACTCTTCCACACCAACGTCACGTCGCAAGCGTTCGTTGCCTGGAGTCGCCAGGAAAGAAATGCCGATACTGCGTTGCCGCCCACTACACATACTCTCATTAGTTCAAAGTCCATATTAAAAGCCGGCGCATCGGCAGAGGAAGGAGAAAAAGAGAGTGAAGTTGAGATTCGGGAGGGACGGATGGGCTTGTCGTAGACGAAAAGGGAGTTGCGGAAATTATCGTCATTAGCAGCAGCAGCAGCAGCAGCAGCAGCAGCGGCGGCGGCGGCGGGTAGACCAACCTGAAAGGATTCGCAGCCGTGGAGGAGTTGGAGCCATCTTTACCAGATGGAAATTGCTTCTTTGCAAGCCACGTCTGCTCTATTCGCCGCGGAGAGGTTTACTGCTACTGGCCGGATTCGGGTCGCGGCCAGGTCTTCGCCAGAATGTGTTTGTTATGAGCGTCCCCGGTTGCTTTTTTTTTTCTGCCCCCTTGTCTCGGTCCCAGAGGGCGGGTGTCCGATGAAAATCAAGGCAGGTGTGGCTAATGAGCGTGACGCCGCAAGATCAACGTGTCAAGGTCGATCTCGGGCTGCTACTGGAGGCGTAACAGAGCGTGTCTGGCGTGGGAAGTGAAGACGACTTTCTCCTGGCTGCGGGATGGGGCGTACGAAGAAGAGGACGTCGCCGGCGGATGCAGATTGGGGGAGGGGGGGGGGGGGCGGGTGTGGAGTAAAGTCGAATGATGTGCGGGCGAGGGGAGCAAAGCTCGCGTCGGACGACCAAGCAGGTTGGCTTTCGACGTGTTGGATTGGCTAGCAGAGAAGGTTACAGCAGCTGCAGCAAGGCCATCAAGCTTGCGATCCCTGGCGAAGTACTGTGTGTGATGCGTACTGATTATTTTTGTCCGCTCGAGCGGGCCAAGTGGACCAAAAGAGGATCGAACTGGATGGCAGGCTTTTTGGGGCTCGTTGAAATCGATGGGAGGGGAGAAGGGAGGTCTCGAATCAATTGGAATGGTATCGTCTCGTCTCGTCTCGTACCCTATCCTATCCTGTCGTCCTGGCACAGAGACAGAGGCAAGATATCGAGAGAGCTGGCCTGCTCCGAGTAGGCCGGTGGAGGTGCTTGATGGCGCCGGTGCTGGCTGGATTGGAGCTGGATTGATTGTCTGCGTGCTGCCCTGGAAAAGAGCGAGTACGGAGTAAGTGCGGATCGGATAGGTGATAGTGGTCAAGGAGAAGCCTGTTTTCATCCCATCTCCCGTCGCTCTTGGCGCAGGTGCAGGGCCAGTTCAGCCCAGGCTGCCCTTTGGAAATTTTACAATGCCCCCGCAGCGCAGCGAGGCGAGTCTGCCGATTCATGATGCGGCGAGGGCAGCTTGAGGGATATATCAAAAATTCGATAGCGGGAGATTTCCCGGCTGAAGAATACCGAGTAAAGATGAGCCTATCTAGGTACGTAGTATCCATCGATCCACCCGCCTCCGCCCACCCCATCCCATCCTCCGATCTACACTCCGGCTCCAGCTATTGTTTGTTTGTCTCGTTGTGTTGTCAGTGGTCAGTTACCCTTCAGTGTTGATTGCACTCATACTGGGCTGAGTGAGAATCGAATCGAATCTGCTGCCAACCCGCCAAGAGCCCGTGCTGATAACGGCCGAAATGAAGAGCTTACTACCTATAGTACGTACTACGTACTACCGGTACCTACTACTACCTACTACCTACTTGACTTCGGGCCACGGATGAAACATGCGCCGAGTGCTGTTCAATCAAGCCTTGCTTGTTGGCAACGGGCTGGGCCTGGGCGGTGGGATATATAAAGAAACGCGATAGAGCTACCGGTACCGTACCGTACCTACACAACATGGGAAGCTGGACACGCCTATCCGCACCGGCACCGGGCTTGCCATACAGGACAGTGGTAGCTCGCTGTACTTGGTGTTGAGGCGTTGGGGCGTTGGGGTGTTGGGGCGTTGGGCATCGATCGACAGGTTTCTCGCCCTCAGGTCGAGTAGGTACGGTAGGGTAGTCGGGTTACCTGCAGAATCGTGCCAACCCTCATTTCTCAGGTCAGGTAAGCGTGTGGCGGTGGTTGTTGTCGTAGTCAACATTAACCGAGCCGGTGGGGTTTGACCGCGGGAGGAATTAATCAAGTAGTAGTAGTACCGTACCAGTACCTCTTTCTAGGGAATCATACCACCACTACCGGTATCTGCTACTACCGCTACTCCGTACTCTGTACGTCGGTGGGGGGAGCCGGAGCGGCTGCAGAAGATTGCAATGACAGGGGCAAGAGCGATGGGAGGACGGTACTGGTACTGGTCTGGAGCAAGATACTTTGGCAGTGGCAGTGGCAGTGGCAGTGGCAGTGGCAGTGCGTCCCGTCAGTCAGTCAGCCAGCCACCAGCAATACTACTACCGGTACTGTCCGGAGAACTATTTTTCTTTTTCTTTTTATTATGTCTTTCCCCGTGCGTCGCCTCATGAGTCATAGGTCGCCCTACAATAATACCACGGCTGTGCGGTGTGCACGCAACTTGCACAACTCCTCGTCTGACCTGTAATTGTCCCTTTGACTTGTACTTGTACTTTTTACGTATTTGTACTTTTTACGTATTTGTACTTTTGACTTATACTTTTTGACTTATACTTCTATAGTTCCACACGCGCAGGTAGATAAGCATAAAAAGAACAGCCACCTGTGGCAGCCAGTCACGACGCACCAAACGAGCCCTTTTACTTCTACGTAGTAATTTGTTTTCCCTCCACCTCCTCCCCCCCCCCCTGGACCCGGCGCACCCGGAACTCGGAGAGAGAAAAGAGTCGAATCATATCACATCCGAGCTTTTTCTGCCGTCTGCTCGGCACCTCAACCTTCCCTTCACCGCCGCCGCAAATAGATCTTCCGCCGATCTTCCGTGCTCACTGTCCTGTCGGGACTTGGCGTCCATCACCGCCCTTGCCTCCCATTCTCTCTGTCTTTCTCTCTCCCCATCTCACGGACTTCTACCGGTACCACGACCCGAAGCGCATTCCCCATCACGTCGGTGTGAAAAGTCGGGCGAGCACTCCATCCATCTAATTCCACAGTGGGTATAAACCAGAAGCGAGAATTCCTCACCCCTCCCCATTCAGGCCCGCTGGAATGGCAAGCAACAAATGTGGACTTCAACTCTGATGCCTGATGCCACGCTTCTCGCGTGGTTTGGTAAGAAAGAAAGAGAGAGAGAGAGAGAAGGAAGAAATAAATACAGACTCACCACGGCGACAGATGTCAACAAGAGGGTCGAGGCACAGGGCATACGTACCCACTTACTAGTACAGTAGTAGATATGCCGTCCGTATCAGCACCTCCCCTGCAAGGTACCCCACCCGTCTATTATACTTAGAACAATTTAACGAAAGGACCACTACTACGATACCCCCGATTTCCAGAATACCCGCTCCATACCTGCAGAACACGAGATGAACGAGAGACAAGGTTTAGTGCCCTTTTTTTTTTTTTTTTTTTTTTTTTTTCTTTCAACGCCAAATATCATCCCACCCACCCCCCTTTCTTTCTCCTTTCCAAGTTTGCATAGATTTGATTTATCTATCATTGCACTACTTCCACACGACACGTCACATGTCACGCCACTGTAAAATCTTCAACTTGTTTGTTGTTGGTTGCGTGCTGGTCGTGTCCAGCGGAATCTGCTGATGACGGAGAAAAAGAAGAGGGGGAAGTCCGTGGTTGCTACGGGAGATGATCGATCCACTTTTAGCTACCAGCCAAGGCAGCCAGTCACATGCGCATCATTCTTCATTTCATTTAGTCTTGTCAATCAAGGTGGTAGTATTTATAACCAACCTTTGATAAGTACCCAGGTACTACTAGGTATGATTTCCCGTGGCAAGTACCCACCAATCCTTATATTGTTCTCGCCCCCCCCCAAATAAATGCAACACTGGGTCTCTTGTGGGCCGATTCCAGCCAGTGCAGCAGGGGTATCGCAAGGGGCACGAGTGGAGCAGACAAGGGCTGGGTTCAAAGCCAATTGAAATAAAGGCTACCACCTACGTAGCACTGAACCTGACATATCAGCATCCATCGTCCCACCGATGCTTAGCATCTTTCCATGTGCTCACTCGTCGAATCTTTGTACTGCTATATTCGATCTACCACGTACCTACAGTAGTATCCTCACTCTATTGATAGCCACACCAGATACTAACCCTCTCTACCTACCTACCTACTAAATCCACCGAATCCTTTCCCCAAGGCGCTTTCCCACAACTTTTTGCTCCTCAAATACCGAAAGAAAAAAAATGTATATATATGTATTATTTACGTACACGCTCGAGAGAACCCACCCTTATTTCGAAAAGATGAGATCTTCTCCCCCCTGTGTGTGTGTGTATATCACGCTCAACCGACCTCTCGCGAGAGCGGGCGAGAGGTTCACATCGGAGGCTCTAGACGCTCGCTGGCACTGATAGGTAAGCTAGCTACGCACGCACGCATGGAGTACGTACGTACGTACGCGCCGGTAGGAGAAGTACGTAGTACCTACCGGTAGTATTTCGAATCTCGAGGCGATGCGAGGCGATGCGAATCGTGGTGTACAGTACCGTAGTGGAGGCGTTGTTGTCGAGTCGAGCTGTAGCTGTAGCTGTACAGAGTAGGTAGGTAGGTAGGTTAGGTAGGTTAGGTAGTTCAGGTAGGTAGGTGATCGATACTTACATAGTAACTCTGTGAGGAGGGCTAACATTATAGTGGTACTTACATACTACTATCTAGCACATACATACATTCATAGTAATATGTCGTTGTTGTAAGTAGTAGTAGTAGCTGTAGATACCGGTACAAGCAGACTCTTTTTTTACTGTAGGTAAATCAATTAATGTCTCCTCTGTTCCGATTGGTCTAAGACCCATGTATGCTCCGCTGTTACTACTACCTACTTACTACTACTACGTACTACCTCTTGCTATTACTACTACGTACCTACCTGTCACCCCCCATGCATCGACCCACGAGAGACCCAGTGAGTGTTGCTTTTTATCTACTACTATTACTACTACTACTACTACTACTACCCAGGAGTACTTGTAGGGGAGGGAGAGTTACGTAGTAAGGTACAGTAAGTAGGTTCGGTTCCGTAGAAAATCTGATCTCCACCCCTGTCCGCCGCCGTTTCTATTCGTGATGGCCTTGCAAGCGAGCTTTGCGTTACTTTAATTGACTTTTGCCCTGCTTTGTTCTGCTTTGTTCTGCTCTGTTTTGTTTTGTTCTATTTCGTCTTGTCTTGTCTTGTTTTGTGTTGACTTTGACTTTGACTTCAACTCCTCTGCTTTGACTTCAACTCTGCTTTGACTTTGGTTTTGTTTTTGTTTTTTGTTTTTGTCTTTGTTTGGTCTGTTTTTTTTTTTTTTTTTGGTTTTGCTCGCGTAGCTAGCTAGCTGCCGCGTCGGGTTGTGGCTGCTCCAACGGGCCTGCTGGCTGGCAGCTGGCGTAGCTGCTGTAGGGCGTGCGGATTGCGAGATGCGTAGCTGGGGGGTGAGGCGCGAACGAACGAGAGCCAGCAGAGGTGGGTATGGAAGTGGTGTCGAGGTGTCGAGGGCGAGGTCTTACGAAACGCTTGTGTAGCTATAGGTAGGAGGTAGGTGAGTAAGGACGGGTAGTAGTTACGAATCACTCTCGCTTTCGCGGAGGGGATATCTTTCCAGCTAGACTCGCGCGCTCACTCGCCCATTCTTTCTTTCTGTCTTTCGTTCCTTCTTGCGTTCTCTCATATCGACTGACCTACCGGTACCTACCCACCTACCTACCTACCTAGGTATACAAACACATATTACACAACACAACACACAAACACAAACACCGACGCCGAGATCCTCACTTCCTCCTCCTCCTCCTTCCTCACTCACCAACACTGCAGGCTACACTATGATACCGTCTTTCCCTCCCTCCTTCCATCTCCCACACGCTAGCATCATCTAAATCAAAACCAGCCCCCGTCCACACATCCACAAACACCAACCAAACAAATATTAACATTCAAAGCGAAGAAGGACAAACGCCTCTGTGACCTATCCTAACTTACGTAGGAAAACCTTCTTTTTTTTTTTTTTTTTTTTTTTATTTTTTTTTTTTGAATAACAAAAAGCATTTAAAGCCTGGGTGGACACCACCACCACCACCACCACCACTACTGACGGAGACCCCGGTGAGGTACCGGTAGGTCATCGAATCTAGGTCATCTCCCCAATTCGCGTGTCCGTAAACCCAAATTTGAATCAGCAGAAGGAGGCCATTCCTCGGTGTCTTTCCCTTTCTGCATATTCCCATGGCTCACAAAAACAATGTGCTCGGCGGGCACTACCCAGCTGCTTGCTTTTCCAATTCTTTTCCTTTTCCTTTTTTTTTTTTTAAAAAAAAAAACGTGGCCTACATCTCACAGAAATTACAAAAAGAAACATGTCGATGTCACGAAGATAGAGCACTCAAAAGACTTTTGGCTTTATTGCTTAAGTGCACAGCTGTTCCGCGCGTCTGCAGCTACAACCACCTATCATGTCCATACCATCCCGCATATCGCCGTCCCGAAAAAAAAAGGCTTGCTTGCTTGCGCTATCTTCTCCGCCTCGTCCCCAGCGCCACCTCATTTTGTGTTTTCTTTGTAAGACGCGAGCATAGAGACCTAGTAATTCAAAAGCAGAAGAAAAGCATGCATGCCACCCATCCACTCAGGGCGGAGAAATTTTGGAAGAGCGGAAAGAGTACATTTTTTGGGGTCCGTCCCAGAACTGGACGCGGGCAATGGGGAGAAGATCCCGATAATGGTCTAGTTCGCCATGTAGATGCTAGAGTCGATCCCCTCAGCCGGGAACTCACTGGAAAGCCGTTAGCATGGGATCACGAGGATATTGACAGCTTTAACTTACGGAACATCAGCCTCGAAACGCTTCTCGACGGACTTCAAGACCTCCTCATCAGCCTCGCTGCTTACGAAGGAGATTGAGAGACCCTTGGTACCGAAACGACCGGCACGACCAACACGATGAAGGTAAGAATCGGCATCCGCGGGGAGGTCGTAGTTGATAGCAAGGTTGATACGCTCGATGTCGATGCCACGGCCAAAGACATCAGTCGCAACACAGATACGCTCTTGGAAGTCCTTGAACGCCTTGTAGCGTTTGATTCTAAACGATTATTAGCTCTGGTAGTGATGCATTTTTCGAAACTGGACATACCTCTCCTCTTGACTGACACCAGAGTGAACTGCGACGGATGGGAAGTTGCATTCGGTCAAAAGCTTGTCCAATTCGGTGGCTCTCACCGTACTCTTCACGAAGATGATGGCTTGATTAAACTGCAAATCATCGAGGAGTTCATTGAGCTTGCGGTTCTTCTCCTTCTCATCAAGCTTGATGTAGAACTGGTTGAGACCATGGAGAGTGAGGGTCTTCTCGTCATCGACGTAGATCTCAAGAGGGTTTTGCATGAACTTCTTGCAGATGGGTCGAACCTCTTGGGAGAGGGTGGCGCTGAACATCATGACCTGCTTTTGGGTTGGGGTAGCTCGGAAGATCTCCTGGACGTCACGGCGCATGTCTGAAGCAAATTAGCCGACGTCGATCGAGACTCTTGGAGAAACACATACCGATTTGGTCCAGCATCTTGTCACACTCATCGAGGACAAATATCTTGCAGCTTCCAAGACGGAGGAACTTGTCACGAACGAGAGCATTCAGGCGACCGGGGGTGGCGACTATGATGTGGGGGTGGGTGTCCTTGTTCTTGAGAATCTCGGCGTCTTTCTGAATGGGGGTTCCACCGTAGAATACCGAGGTCTTCACATCTGGCATATATTTGCTGAACCGGGCATATTCGTTCTTGATTTGGTATGCAAGCTCGCGAGTGTGGCACATAATTAACACGGAGGTCTCGCCGTTGACAGGCTCGATTTGCTGGAGCGATGTGAGGACGAAGATGGCAGTCTTACCAAGACCAGATTTGGCCTGGCAGAGGACATCGGTTCCGAGAATTGCCTGAGGGATACAAACTTGCTGAACTGTAGAGTAAATCGAGCCGATGTTAGATCAAAGTGTTCTCCATGTATAAATGAGGTAGGTGCAATAGATCGCAACGTCCGTCCAAGATCGCATATAAGCCCGTATAACAATTCCTCCCAACGTTAGGCAAATGGCAACGATGGCCTTTGAAGGCCTAGATCGTCGACTGAAGCAGGTTCGGCAACAAATTTGAAGCCGTCAAAATCGAGCCGATCCTGGATGTCTCTTGGCACCGCCGCCTACGTGCTTCTTTCCTTCTTGATCAAATCCTCAGCGCCTTCTCGAGATTCCCGCTTGCGCGCAAATCTCCCTTCACACCACTTTGCCAGGTCTGCACCAGCCGATAGAGACATTCCAGGATCGATTGTGATGGATACAGGATGGCCATGACTCTTTTTTCTTTTCTTTTTTTTTTTTCTTTGCTTGCGAGATGGACAGACGTGCGGTATAACGACAACGATGGAGCTTGGGGATGAAAGTTATGACTGACCCTCCGAAGGATGTTCGAAACCGCAATCGGTAATGGCACGCAGAAGCTCGGGCTTCAAGAGGAATTCCCGGAAACCAGTCGCATGAATACCAACGTAACTGCCCTTCTTGTCGGTGGTGTCTCCAGTAGCCGTCCCCTTCTTTGCTCCTCCATTTGCAGCCGCAGCAGGCGCCGCGTCGTTGGTTCCGAGCTCCTCGTCGGAGTAATCGATGAGATCTTCCTCGGTTGCCATCTTGAGGGTTATTCGACGTCTAAGTCGTGAAGGAAGATTTTGTGTATCAGGGTGACGCGACCTTGAGTGCAGTCGGCGTTGGAAGAAAAGGCTGTCGGAAAGTCAATCGTAACGAGGCAATCGAGGTGTATGATATGAAGACGAGAGAGGGGGTGGATTTGATGCAAAGTTGGGAGAGTCAAGGAGGAAGAGGAAGTTGAGGGACGGAGGAAAGGTGTTGGAGTTGCCTTGTCGCGACTTTCAAAGCTGCAAGCAGCTTAAGCACGCTAGTCCTAAAAAGAGCTAGCGTGAAGCTAGCATCCCCAGATGCCTGCTGCCACCCACTCTACTTGTTCAAAAACTCCAACAGCCACAGTCTCAGCTCGAAGTCAATAGATACTACTATTTTTACGGCGAGCCTTCATTCGAGCTTTCTGAAAGCCAGTATGGCGAAAGTTAGTACGGCGAAAGTTAGTACGGCGAAAGCCAAGTCCAGTCGGGTGCCTAACAAAGCCATCTACAGCAGAGTGTCATACCTCTATCAAGCGGCAGCATACATGGCAGCCCAACAAGAGCACTGCAAGTCCGCCGAATCCCAGACTACTAAGGGAAACGACTATGCAGAGCCCGATGGAAGCTCAGCAGAGTCCCTAAAGCCTCTTTTTCAATGTGCATCCAGACGTCTTGTCGCCGAGTTCCGAGCCGTTTCCCACAAAGCTCTATTACGAATCTCACCAGCCATGAAGCACTCAATCTGCAAGGGCTGCGACACAATGTTGATTGACGGGTCAACTTGCACAAATGAAATCGAGAATAGGAGCAGGGGAGGAAAGAAGCCTTGGGCAGATGTCCTTGTGCGGAAATGCAGCACTTGTGGACTGGCCAAAAGGTTTCCTGTGGCTGCGAAGAGGCAGAAGAGAAAACAGGATCGGGGCTTCCCAGAGGAAATCGCCATGGAGGCAGATCCGTAGGCAACTTGCAGAGAGAGGTATACCCAGATCAATGACCACGTTCTACGTTCGCAGATTTGACGATTATGCTGCGAGGAAAAGGGCGGCACATCGGATCCGAGCTAATTGGTATCCTCTATCTTTCATTCCGTTTTCGGGGATGATTCCAAGGGGCTCCAAGCATGGCAATAGAAACGCACCTCCTGACGGCGCAAATATCAGAATTCTTTCCCTGTCGTTATCCTGAAAGCAAGTCATCCTGGAACCACGGCCGCCTTGCTTTCAAGGCTCATGGTATCATAGTTAGCAACTGCTCGTAGCTTTGTCCTTCCAGATGCTCTTATGCTTGTGCTTTGGGCAGAAGAAAGCGGAAGAGTTCTAGCCGGTATCTTATGTTCCATGCCTTTTCAATCGTCTGTACTGCGTGCTAATTACCTTTGTACGGCTGTTTAGTGGATTCCTTGCAAAATTTCGCGTTGGCTGCAGATACTTAAGCATACCACATTACTTAACCTCGAAATTATCTTCACGATCTTCATGATCTTCACTATCACGGGCCTCGCCTTGAACACCGCAGTTCGGAATGTCGTCTCACACAAATCCAAAATTGAAAGGCTCCTCATTGCTAGATCTGCCTCCTGAGGTCCGCCTTACGATCTGTGAACGTCTCTGGCCTGCAGCTCCAGAAAACCGCGCAGCGCAATTGATTGCCCTTCAAATCCATCCGAACAGTAAATCCCTGTATGTATCAACTTCTCCCATCTTTGATCATATGACCGGAATGCTGACATTCAAAAAGCGACGAAGTAGCCGAGTTATTCAAGAAGGCAGGACGTCATTACCGGAAAGACCTTTAGTCTCGGTCAATGTCGACAATTGGGAAACGGTCAAATCCATGGGATGATAGAAGTTGGAACTTCCGTCGGCATCTCGCGTTATCACCATCACTTTGGATGACAATTCCCGAAATAGACCTGACTGGCCACTATCGTTTGTGAATTTGAATGGCTACTTCTGTACGCCCCGTAACGACTTCAGGGTCATCACTTTCCGCTTAATCCGCTCCCTCACTGACCGAACAGCCGCTGAGATCTTTCAAGCTGAGCCCAGGAGGACATGACTTGCTTGCTGCATATCTGGTCAGGGCATCGTCTAACCCTCGGTCACTCACATAGTGCGGAAGACAGTAACGTCGCTTTTACGAAAGATGGTCATAATATGTTCCAGGTCCAATTGGAGAGCATCGACCGTGCTTCGGGAATTCAGGTGACGAATCAGCGAAAAAAAATTCAGGCAAAATGCTGACATGAACGCGGGGGAATTGTTCTGTGGACGGGAAGAAATTGAAACTTGTTTGGTCAACCTCTCAAAACTTCAAGAGCAGGTGTGAATGTGTTCCGTTGGCTCTAGAGACTCTAGGGCTCTTCGGGGCTTTTTGCAATTCTTCGGACCGCTTTCGCGTTGATCTTCCCGAGCCTCTTCCAAGGAGAGATTGCACAGAGATCGATGGTTTGTTTGACGCTAGAGAGTGTTTTTATATTCTTGCGTAGGTATAATTGTAGGTGGTTTATTGCACATTGGTCAAATTACCTTTCGTGCAGCTCCTCTTTTTCCAGTGCAACCTTTTTCTTACCCAGCACAAGCATCTGACAATCCCAGCTCGCATCGCGCTGAAAAAAAAAATCATTGGTTATATCTTGTCCCGAGATTATGACAAAACTTTGGTCCTGGTGTGGACCTCACCCAGATGGCGTGGATGCCGCTATGAACGGGCAGGGCTTCGAATTTCGACCCTTAGAGAAACGATCCATGGAACTTGAAATCTCAAATGCGGCGGCAGCCATGGGTTCCGGCCGCGGGCATGTGAACGGGACTGAGCTTTGGCAAATTCTCAGTCCCAGTCCCAATCTTTGATCGTAGCAGTTGCTCAGCGGGGATCCATGTACTTGAGAACCTCTCAAAGCATAGAGAGAGACGGCTATGTTCGAGATGCTTCTCCAAGGATCACTCGACATGAACTTTGGCAGGGTAAGACGGGTCCCCCTAAATGGCAAGATTGAGGGGGATTCAGTGTGCTGTACTATACCACTAACCACGGCTCAAAGGGCAAGGGATCATTGCAAGTGATGGGGATGGAGTGCCTACGGGGAAGTGGTAGAGTATGCTACCCGGCGCTTGAAGTGGAATAGACTGAGGGTTTCCTCGATTTCTAGGAGCCCCGTTGTGGGGACTTTAGGAGGTAGAAGACGCCCTGCTTAGAAAACCTTGTTGAAGAAATCAGAGTGTTACTGCCGTAGCATGAATTACATATCTGGATACAGTCGTTGAGGTAAACGAGAGGCAAGAGTTGCTGCGACATCTCAAGATCTCTAGTAAAGCTCTTGGCACCTTTCACACAGGCTCCCACCTAGCCAGCCTCCCCATTTTCTCCCCTGCATTCCTCACAATACAGAGTCTCCCCTCCTTACTCTTCTTATCCCTCTTCAACCCTTCGAGAACCCTCTGCACAACCACACTACCAACAGCAACCCCCTTGCCCTCTGCAAGATTGAATTCACCCGTCGTAACAAACCCAATAAGATCCTCCTCATCAGGCACAAGCGGGTGGTCATCCCCATCTCTCCTCGTCGCAGGATACGGAAGTGCTGGGCCTTGAAGCAGTGAGTGTGCCAATAGCAAGACCCGCTGCGGCAGAGGCGTATTCAGCGGGATCCGACCAGGTCTTTGAGCAGCTCTGGCTTTTGGGTTTTGGGGGAGCTTTGAGCCGGCTGGAGGGGGTAGAAGAGCTAGCCACTCTTCGCGGCTGGCTGCTGGTAAAGAAGTGGTGATGGATGGGTCTGAAGTAATAGATGAAGGAGCATCGGTTGCGCCAGGGAGTCGGTAGATGCGTGCACAGGGCGATGCGAGCCCGCGGGTTACGAGCTTGAGGCGGACTGTGGCGACGGTGTTTGGCGATGGAAGCTCGTACTCCGAGGCTGAGACGAGAGATTTGAAACTTTTGCTAGGAAGGTGCTGAGTCGGGATGTGAGCCTTAGGAAGATGGACTGAAGGCCTCTGGGACTCCTGAGATGGGTCTGTAGAGACACCGCTGGCAGGCAATGGCTCCACTCCCACGATCCGCTCAAAATCGCAGGCCCAACCTCTACCTATTTCCCCCTTCCTTCCAGCCCCGAGGCTTAGCGAGTCCCATTCTATTCTTTTACCTTTGGGCCTCTTGTCCCAGTCAGCTTTCCTCCGTAGTCTTTCATCAGCCTCCCACTGAAACCCAGCATTAGTTCCAGGGAAATCGTTGGGAAAGTAAGGTACGCCCTGCTCAAAATGAATCTGGCGTAGTTCTTGCTGGCCACCAAAGCGCGGGTTTCCTCCAGAAGATAGTGGACAGTGCATCAACCCGTACCAGATTGGTAGGATGCACTTCCAAGGAGCTAACAGTGTCCAGGTACCTTGTGCAGAATTAGACGATGTTGATCTAGAAGCCATGAGCGTGAGAGGTATTTTCGGATCAGTCTGTTTTATAGCTGGAAATTCTCCTGGGGGTGCAAGGGACTTTCGCCTATTAAGTGCCTTTTGAGATGGTAGACGGGTTGCTTTAAATCGGGCATCTCTCTCGAACAATGCTGAAGTTCCGATAGACCCATCAACGGGCCAAGTAGAGAGCAATTCAAGGAGTTTGAAACTGGCCTCTTCGCTGTTAATTTGAGATAGCTTGACGGGTCTTGGGGGATAGCGAAGTCGAGGATCCATGATAGAAAAATGTAGTATTGAGTTGGGAGGCAAGGATCCTGGATTCGTAACGCCCTTGAGGGACAAAAACGTGCTGGCATGCTCTTCTGATTCGTCATATGGATGCAAAATTGCGAGCAACGCTTCAGTCGATGAGGGTCCGACTATATCAATGCTGCCAATCTCGAATCTGAGATCCTCAATGTGCACTACTGGCCGTTGGAGCTTTGATAGCCTGAGAAGCTCAGTCCATAGTTCAAGAAATGTAGAAGGATGTATCCTTAAGACCACTCTCCGTTTTGTTGGCTTCTTGGGCTCGTTGGAAGCATCATCACTGTCTGTTGGGGATTGCACAGGGCACCATAACACGGTAGAAGGACCGATGGGAATCGATTGCTCCTTGACTTCTCTACACAACCATCCACTCCAAGTTCGCTTACCTTGCCTCCATTTGGTGCCCTTTACTTCGCACAATCCTTGTTCTGTGATGCCAATTGCTTTCAAAAGTTTCTCTAAGCTTGCCTCGGGGCCTTCCAGACCGATTGTGCTCATGTAGCTCATGTCCCAAGCTACGGCACCGCCTGCTCCACTGGCTCGATGTGTTGGTCTGTAAGACTTCGCTGTCGAAGTAAGCGGTAAAGAAAATCTCCACATGGGGTTCTTGGGCCCAGTCATCGTCGCCCTCTTGGCATGCCATAGATGTGTCGGTAGCCATGTCTTGTGTATCTGCCTCTTCCTGAATTTCGACTTGGGCTTCGGAGGATCGTTCAGAGCATCCTTCCGGATCTTGGGTCGCGGAGCTCGAGTCTCAATGCCTGTCTCACCAACCTTCTTCTCTTTGGTAGCCCTTTTCTTCGCGGCCAGTATGCCCAGTCGTTTTGCAGTTTCCGCCCGGAGCCTTCCTCTGGAACTCCTAGGCCTTCTCTTATTCGCAGTAATAGTCGGGGTATTGTCATTTTTCATCTCCTTCGCAGCTCTCTTTTGCAATCGTTTCGGTACCCTCTTGACATTGTGACTTGCCGTCCGCCTTCGCATATCCCGCGGAACTTGCTGAAATGCCCTGGTTGTCCCGCTCTTTTTCGACTTTTGTATGCCATTTTGCAGCGCTTTGATTTCAAATTCGCGAGCGTTCATGAAAGACGCCAAGTTCAACTCGCCATTTTGGAGAGCCTTGTCTGTAGATTGTGTCAAAATTGTTCGCGCGTCAAACTTTACGCGTTTAAAATCGCGTCCGGTTCTCTGATTTCCTGTTGACAGAGAGGGCGGGTCCTTGCGCTTTTTGTTTCCAGACTTGTCATTTGGGCCAGCGGACGCAGGAATTTTCGTCGGCATCGTTTTGTTTCTGTCGACAATGTTCTGGTTCTGCTGAGCTCATGGATGGGAATTGGAGCGAAATTCTGTCCAAGGCGGTGATTGCCGATATCAATCACGTGCTATGAAGATCCTATAAATTCTGGTAAAGACTGAATGCCTCAGCTCCTCTATATTCCTCTGAATTTTATTTCCGAGATTCACCACATCCCCAGAAAGTCAATACTCTCCTAGCGTGTGAAAGTACCTCAAACATTTGGTGGCATCCTGCCTGGCCAAAAAGTCGCCGTCAAAGCTCCCATGGCGTAATTATTATTAGGAATCCAGTAACTCTGGGGAGCTCGAGAAAAAAAGTTCTCTAATGAAATGTAGATTACCAAATTCCTGGGAGAACACTGAAATACTGTGTAGTGCGAGACAAGCCTTCCATCATCTTCTTGTATGCCTAGCGTAGAATTGGTATTGCTAGGTATTTAGGGCTTCTCAACCCACCGCAACCTACGAGGGATCTTCTTTCTAAAAAAGCTGGCAATCGGGGCCTGCAGCAATATCTAAACAGCTACGGCGATGTGACCAACATCAGATAGAAGCTTCTCTGATGTGAAAATGCCGTGGCAGGTCTGTCGCACTGCCATAAGCTACCAGTCTATCATTGCGACTTACGACCGAATAATTTTCTTATAGATGAAGGTTTAAATGTCCGCACCTGCGATTTCAGTGATTGAACTTGTGGTGAACTAGATTGCGCAGGGCTTCCGGATCACGGCTCCATTGATCTGCAAGACGAGGATGAATTCATGGAAAGCTTCGGACTGGGCTCTACTATGTACACTATGACGGACATCAACCACAATGGCCTATTCGTATTCAAAAGCTCCGAGAGTCTCGTGGCTTACGACGCGGAGTTTGAAGATCTTCTTGGGCGGGAAATTTTTCTAGATACTAAGGATATCGTGGCCGGGGAGATCATCCTCGATTTCTGGAAAGAGGATATATTCTGTGCAGAAGATGTTCTAGCACGTGTTGAATCTTCCAACATATCTCAGACAAGACATATCTAGGACTCGAAGCACTTGGATCTCGATTTTGAAAAAGAACTCATATTGCCACTGCAGCTAATATTTGATCAAATCCTCTCACATCCAACTATAGTCCTTCGCTGATGGACTAAATCTCTGAGCCCTCTAGCTTCTCGCAGTATCATACAAAGTAGGCCTAGTCATATACCAGCAGGGTACTGAAGAACATTGAGAGGCAAGGGAGGTCTATTCACCGAGACTTCATTGTTTACGTGGCTGTTCTCGTTCCGCGTTGCTGATCCAACATCCCGTGTGAGGCAAATCACATTCAAACAATTTTGATGACCACCTTCGAGAAATGTCTTTGGTCTTCCAAATACACCAATGCATCCTTTAGGTCCTCCAGTCTAAACACCCGCTGATCAACAACAGGCTTGACATCCTTCTCCTCAATGAATGCTACCAAGTCATTGAACTGATCCTTTGTACCCAGCCATATGCCTCGAAGACTACATGCCTTCCACAAAACATCCATGATATCAGGCTTCTCTTCTCCCGCGGTGCCCAGAGCACCGGTAAGGGAGATTGTTCCACCAACCATCACGGCTTTGAAGGATTCCGAGAGCGTAGAGCGACCACCGATATCGACGATGGTTGAAACACCTTCGGATTTGGCAGAGACTTCTCTTGTAATTCCGCCCCATTCGGGAGAAGCACGGTAGTTGATAGTATGTGTGGCACCCAGGGCCATCAGACGAGCGGCTTTGGAATCGCTGCTTGTTGTGGCGATCACGGTGGCGCCTGCTGCGTGGGCAAACTGTCACATTATCTTCAGCGCCAGCGCCCTTCCCAAGCCTTTTTTGAAACATGCTAAACATAGGTATACAGAGAAGTGAATTACCTGCAAAGCAGCAACACTGACGCCCCCTGTACCCTGCGTCAACACCGTCTTTCCCCTCAGACTCTCCACTCCACGATCACCGACTAGCGCGTTCCAAGCCGTCAATCCGCTACACGTCAACGTTGCCGCCTCTTCGAAAGACAAGTTGTTAGGCATGCGTATCAGTGTCTCTTCGTGGAATACCCCGTACTCGCGCAGTGTCCCATGGTGCACTTGTCCCAGTCCGGACATGATGTGAACGGGCCCAGGGAAACGAGAGGAGGCGATACGAGGAACGAGATGCGTGACGACCTTATCGTTGATGGAGAAGGATGTGACGGATTTTCCGATAGAGATCACTGTTCCGGCACCATCAGAACCAGGTACAACGTTTGGCGATGTGGCAAGAGATAGGTCGCCCTGTAGGAAACGTCAACAACACCCTTGGCTCTTGCTGAGTGGAAATTGAGTGTGCAGCTCGGATACTTGATTTGCTTACTCTTATCAAGACCAGATCACGGTAGTTTAGTGATGCGGCATGGATCTTGACGAGAATATCATGGTCGTTCAAAAGGTCTGGTAGTTCGGTACTGCTGAGGCGTAATCCGTCGACGCCGGTTTGGGACTGAATTGTCCATTGCTTGTATAGTTTTTTAGCCATAACTGTAATCGAGTACGATATCTTGTGTTTTTGGCTCCCGTTCTTTAAGTAACGGAGCGACTCTGGAGTGGGGTGAGTGGGGTACTGCTCCGGAACCAAAGTTTGTCAGCATCGGCTTTCAGGTGTGGATCAAATACAAGATACCTAATTTTTAGAAAACTGACGAGATTCTGGCTTCGGATCAGTATCAATAGGAATCAAATGTTTTAGAACTTGGCGGGATGCGTCTCTTTATATCTCTCCCACACGATTCATAAAGCGATCGTTGCTTTTCGGAGCCCGCATAAGACGGCTTGACTTGTCGCTTCATGACTTTAAATAATCAAATCGTTCGGTCAATATCAAAAACACAAGTAGAACGTTATGGCTGTCTTTTGACACTTACATCTTCTTGTTTATTGTTGACATTCAAATATCGCTAAGCCTAGCTAGCCCCTGACGATTAGCGAGCCATCTTGAAGTCTGGCACCGATCTACAATACACGTGACTCGATCTACCCCTCTTCCCCAACCCGGACTCGACCGCAGCCCTTCCACTTCCAACCTCTTAAAATTTCACGAATGTTGACAATGGCATCTGAAGAATTCCATCTCTTCCCCAAGCTCCCCACCGAACTCCGCCTTAAAATTTGGGTGCACACCATCCCCATATTTCCGTCTCTCCTCCCCCGCGTCGCCGGCTCCTCCAACGATGAGCTCCGGTCCACCTGCCGCGAGTCTCGACAGATCCACAACGAAAACTACATCCCTGTTTTTCTGCCCCTCGCTCGTAGGCTGTTCAGGAGACCGATATCCAGATACGCCCTGAAAGATGTGGACATGACACTGTACATCGACGACGCTGAGATCTTGAGGAGGAATTTCAAGGATTGGATCGCCCCAGGCCCCAAGGGGAATTGGGGCATCGTGGAACTGGCGGTCGACAAGGAGGTGTGGAAGCTGAGGGGTCCCAGGAGGGGGGAAGCTCACTTGGAAAGCAGAAGCGATGCCAGATTTATGATGTTGAACCCGCAGATCGGGCTGGCTGCGCTGGAGGTTTTGACGCTGGTGGCACCGCATCCAGTGATGGATGTAGACAAGATGGTGCTGGGGAGGTTCGGGCAGGGCTTGGAGCAGGTCGATAAGGGCCTTGTGGAGGATGCGCGGCTTGTTTTCAAGACCCTGAATAATCTGGAACGAATAGGGCTGTACGCGGGGTGGAAAGAGCCGGAGCTGGTGTTCGCGGTCGTTCTGCCTCGTCGCTGATGGGTTTGGAGGTTTCAGCAGGAGATTGCTTTGGTATTGGTTTGCCTTTGGATGGATGTGGAAATGCACGGAGTGCAGCTCGTTGATCGATGCAGAATTTTCGTCGAAAATTGAATGAACTCGTTCGTCATCAATCATTTGACAGATATGCAAGCAAGCTCTTGACTTTAAACATTCCATGATTTTAAAAATTTCTTGGTTTTAAACATTTCTTGGGTTTAAATATTTCTTGGTTTTAAACATTTATTGATTTTGATCATTTATTGTTTCAAACATTTATTAAATTTTAAACATTTCTTGATTTCAAACATTTCTTGATTTTGAACATTCGGCATTCCTTGAAGAAAACAGAAGGTGGAAAAAGGGGACGAAGTAGCGTTTGGTAGACATGGAGGTCTTGAACAACGAAGATGAAGTCGAGGGTGCGCTCTCGCGACTGTTGCATTAAAGAAGGAACATATCGCTCATAAATATTTGCAGCAAAGCATGAAGTGGCTCGTAGTCTTGGGCTACTTACATGCGGCTCTTCAGCGTTCACGATCTCTTCCTTCCGACGAACAAGCGCAGGGAATGAAAACGAAGGGAGTGCAGAGGGAGAATATGATTCTGTAGGCGGGCACCGTTGGTAGAGGTGAACGGTTAGTTACAGGCTTTGATATATGAACATGTTACCTGGTAGAAGCCGACTGTAGGAGACAGACCAGAGGGCCATTAACAAGCAACTCCATAGAGAGGTCAGCCTTTCCGGAAGCCCAGTCTGGAACCCCGAGGAGCTTTATTGGGCATCCATCTGGTTTTCGTTTTCGTATCGGTAGATTGGAGACGAGCGTCCAAATCAAATCTGGAGTTGTTAAGTATCACGGGTCTCAACGTCTCACCTTGCCTTGCGTCCGCCTATGATTTGCCTCTGATAAGCTGGCTTTTCTGGAAGCCATGTTGTCTCTGGGCCTGTCTCGCGCATAGAGGGTCGGTTGGATCACGGGGGCAATCTCTACGTTGCACAGATTTATTTGTCGTCACTTTGGAATAACGCCACCCACTCCAAGTAGAAGGATCCGGAAGTATTCATTGGGTAGGGGGTGGCATTACCCCTCCACCTCGCATGGGAAAGGGTCGAAGTGGGAAGAAATGCCATAGGCCCAAAGGCTGTGGTTGACAAAGAAACAGACCGTCGGCCAGACAGACAGAGAGACTGCAGCTAAGAGAGACGTTCTCCCCGTTCCCGCCCGTGGATGGCACCTTCACCTTCTCACCTTCTCACCTTCTCACCTTCGCTTTTACCCCACTACCCCCGGTGCCTCGTGGCAGCCTTGCCGGAAAAGTAGATTGCGTGATATAGAGTACGTGACAAGAAAAAAGGAGTCGCTCTGGCCTTGTGTATCGTGCCTGCCTGCGTAGGTTAGGTAGGTGGGCCGAAAACGACAGGCCACTTGCTTCAGGGTAGCGGTAGCAAAATTCAAGTGTCAAGTGTCAAAGTCAAGTGAATGACCGAAAAGCCATGACGTCGTGGCTAGTCTCGTCGTCCAAACAAAGCAGGAACACCCCTCCACCCCTGCTCTTCTCCCTCCCCCCACCACTACTTAAGAACCGTCTCCCGCCCTTCAACTTCTTCCTCCTTCATCATCCAACAACCCCCAACTTCAACCTCTAACATCAATTTCCCTCACTCAAACTCACTCAACAACAATCAAACTACTCTCCCAATCACTACCTACCAACCTCACATCCATCATCATGTCTGACGGACTGTATGTCACCCCACCCTTCGCAGCCCTTTCCACATGCTCCCTTCTCGCCGTTGCTCCTCTGCTAACCTCTGCTAACACCTCGCAGTCGCAAGGACTTCTCTACCCAAGCTTCCGAGAAGATCACTCCGGATTCTTCCAAGACCACCACCGACAAGATCGGCGAGAACATCACCGGTGCTGCTGATAAGGCTGCCGCTGCTGTTCAGCCAAGTATGTTTCTCCTTCTCTTCTCCCACCCCCTCTGCTTTGGTTACTGACACGCTCCAGGCGGCGAGAAGTCGACCACCCAAAAAGCTGGTGACACCGTTCGCGGCGAGGGTGACAACGCCCAAAAGGAGGGTGGGAGCATTGTCGACAAGGTCACCGGCACTGTCACTGACACCAGTTCGTCCCCCCTTCCCAACGTCACCTTCCAATTCAAGTCTTCCGATGCTAACATGCACCAGTCAACTCCCTCACAGGCAAGACTGATGAGGCCGCCAAGAAGAACGACTTGAAGTAGAGTTCCTCCTCACGAGACTCCCCTCTCCGTCGGTTCTCGCAGATGGTTAATGGAAAACATGTTGCTCTGTTCTCTTTGACGGCGGGGATTTGAGTGGATTGGCCGGGATACGCTCGGGCGGGTGCTTTATGATGATACGATAGGAATAACTGCTTCTGCGATGGGTTTTTCGGAATGATACCGCCTGCGGGCCAATGACAAACGTCCTTCAAACAACTAGATGTGCCATTGAAGACTTGATTTTGATTGTTTTCTCTACTCGGGAATACGTAGAATTCGGGTTCCTCAGAAACTGCTCTCACAGAACCCCTCTTCCCTACCCACCCCAGGTCTTCTGCCGAAGGGTCGCGATTGTGGACGGAATAGAAGGGCCGCAGATGTGGCTCTGGCTCTGGCTCTGGGCAGGGCTAGTACCGGGGCACTTTCCAGGTGATCCAGGACACTAATGTGATTCAACTTGGGGCGAATATAGTCGTAGATAGAAAAGGAAGACGAAGTGTATGCAAACGTGACATCGAGCAGGAGAAGTGCTGTTTGCTGCCGATATTCTTGGCCCAGGGGTTTTAGAGTTCTGGCGGCACGCTCCGTAGTTAAAGCACGGTCGAGGTTGCCGTGCCAGTTCCCCTTGTAAACACAATCTAACCCCACTTCAACCCCAATCCCCGAGCATACAGAGCAACATCAACACCCTTACAAGTACTTGGTAATAGTCTTTGCTGCAGGATCTCTCGCACACCAACCCCAGGCTCTTGGTCCACTCGTCCTAACATAGGCCATTTGCACGCATCCACTACTGCTCACACTCCCTCGGTGTCGCGCAGTCCAGGGCTCTGACCGACATTGGAAATCGCAGAGACAACGCCATAGTCTAACATGTCGAACTTCATCACAAACCTGTTCCCCTCTCCGCACGGCGGCAAGCACGAGGGAATATTGCCAGTCCCTGCTCCGCCTCTTCATACTCGCTCCAGCCAGAACGAAGCCTTCAGTGACGCCCCAAATACTCCTGGCCGGAACAATTTCACCACTCCAGTCGCTACGCCTCAAGGCAGCCCAAGCAAGAATCGAAACCCACCAGGAGCAAATGATCTGCCGGTCGCTTTCGAGAATGCTATGAAGATTGCGCCTCCCCAGTTCGGTCTCAGCCGCTCACAAATCCCGTTGTCACCAGGAAAGGGTAACAATTTAGCGGTGGAAGACTCCTATTTTGGCAATGCTGCGGGAAGTGTCGATGATAGTATAGTACCAAAATCTGCCGCCGTTACCCCTGGGAGCCCTCTGCGTAAGCAAGGCAAGGAAAACACGCCTCCGGGATTTAAGTCGGGTCTCGACTCCCCCAATCAAGCCGCAATCTCCAGACAAGAGCTCTATCAACAACCCCAGACCACGCGAAAGTACAATACTCAGCGAGGATTGACGGCAGAGGAGTTGGAGATCTTGCACAAGCCAAATGTCAAGCGTCTTGCCAATGTGACCCAACTTTGTGAGTACAGCCCACCACATGGGCCGAACGATATCTAACACTTCGCAGACTTCTTAGATTACTACTTTGACCTCCTCAGCTACGTTGGTGCCCGCCAAAATCGCCTGAGCCACTTCCATTCCGAATTCCCCCCACCTCCCAAGACCCCCGAAGAGACGTACAACCCAGTCTGGCAGAAATATGCAGGAAGAGAGCGTGCCAACCTCCGCAAGCGTCGCGTTCGTCTTCGCCAGGGCGATTTCCAGATTCTCACACAAGTTGGTCAAGGTGGTTATGGTCAGGTCTTCTTGGCTCAGAAGAAGGATACACGAGAAGTATGCGCATTGAAGGTTATGAGCAAGAAGCTGCTATTCAAGTTGGATGAGATCAGACACGTCCTAACAGAGCGTGATATCCTAACAAATGCGAAGAGCGAATGGCTGGTGCGACTACTATACTCCTTCCAAGACGAGAAGAGTATTTATTTGGCCATGGTAAGATTCGGGCTCGCGAACCACACGAGGTTGGCTGACCAGTAATTAGGAATATGTACCGGGTGGAGATTTCCGAACATTGCTCAACAACACCGGTGTCCTGGCAAATCGCCATGCCCGTTTTTATATTGCCGAGATGTTCTGTTCAGTAGATGCTCTCCACCAACTGGGTTACATCCATCGAGATCTGAAGCCAGAGAACTTCCTGATCGATTCCACTGGCCACGTCAAGCTCACCGATTTCGGTCTGGCCGCTGGTTTCCTTGCTCCAGGAAAGATCGAGTCCATGCGAGTCAAGCTTGAGAAGGTTGGGGAGACATATGTTCCTTTTGGTAAGCCAATGGAACAGCGAACTGTCGCAGAGCGTCGGGAAGGTTACCGATCGATGCGCGACCGAGATGTCAATTATGCAAAGTCGATCGTTGGCTCTCCTGATTATATGGCTCCCGAAGTACTGAAGGGTGACGAGTACGAATTCTCAGTTGACTACTGGAGTCTTGGGTGTATGCATTTCGAGGCTCTGACTGGTTTCCCTCCCTTCGCGGGAGCTACGGTCGAAGAGACCTGGAAGAACTTGAAGCACTGGAGAGAAGTACTGAAGCGACCAGTCTGGGAGGATCCAAACTACTTCATCAGCAATCGCACCTGGAACTTCATCACCAGGTATGTGGTATCATGGAGACCGGAGTACCATTCGCTAATCTGAACAGCTGCATCGCATCCAAGTCCAAGCGCTTCTCGTCCATCAAGGAGGTGTACGAGCACCATTACTTCGCCGAAGTTGATTGGACCACTCTTCGCTCGCAACGCGCCCCCTTCGTTCCCGAACTTGATTCCGAAACCGACGCCGGCTACTTCGACGACTTCAGCAACGAAGCCGACATGGCCAAGTACAAGGAGGTGCATGAGAAACAAGAGGCTTTGGAGAACATGGCCGACAGAGAAGATCCCATGAGCAAGAGCTTGTTCGTTGGTTTCACATTCAGACATCGCAAGCCCGCCAACGACGACGGTGGCAAGTCCAGTCCGAGAAAAGCCATTCCTACGGATGGTACGTTTGGAACGATGTTGTGAGGATGGGGTGGTGTTAACACCTACTTCGCTTCTATCTCGGCACTAGGGACTTGTGACGGCGCGATAGAGGAGCATTGAGGGCAAGGGGAGCGCGTGCGCAGGGTAAAGTTCTGGCTGAGGAATAATCATGATTCTCGGATTACGGAAGGCGTGAACCATTTTGCGTGTATGCCGTGTTGGGAGTTCGAGATGAGGGAATGCTATGCCTGTGAAGCTTTACTATTAGCTATGAATACCATTGACGACGCGTTGAGAAAGCCGGCCTAATTAATCTACTTTGTATTGCAAGAGATATTCTTGTGTATTCGGTTGCATTTGCCTCATCTCATGTGCACTGTCATGTACCAATTGCAGGCAAAGATCAGCGAGTAAAAGATCTCAGCACCATGTGAACTGTATACTACGTATTCTCGCCCCGCCAAAACCCACCCCTCCATTGTTTATGTCCGAGACCCAAGCCACCCCACCCCTTCTCCAACAACAATAACAACAACAGTTAGCCGGCTCCCCCCTACCTTACATACGCCCTACGTGAAAAGTAAAAAGTCCGAAAATTTCTCTCATCATCCCAACCATAAATATTACTTGACACAAAGGCCGGCCAATTTCCAATTTCCAATCTCCAATTTCCAGCTGGTTT